TTCTCTTCCTTTTCCTTAACTCACTTACAAAGTAAGTTAACTTTGTAACTAATTTAACTTGCAAAGTAATTTCTATGCTATTTTGCTATTTTACTGTACTATCAGTACTTCTTTGCTATAGTTTCCATGGACCTATAGAGAAATTTAGGAAAGAAAACTACAGCTACAGAGTTATGATGCTATAATAAAAGGAAAATATAAAAAGGTTTCCTTTAGTGTTAAAGGAGACAACGAGGGATAGGAGAGTGAAGTATCCAGGATAGCAAAAGAAAAACACGCAGAGGGAACAATACTTTAAAGGAAAATGCAGCATGGATAGACTGGTCCATTCATGATCCAGCCAACAAGGTTTGCTTTTTTTACTTGAATGGAAAGAGCAAGAAGAAGGGAACTAGCCAATCAGGTATTATAGTCTGGGCTGAGTATTGTCCCAGCTTCATGTTTACCTATTGCAACCTGGACTGTAACTATGAAAGTTAACTTACAAAACAGGTAGGACAGCACAGGAGGCACAAAGCTTAGACTGCAGTGTGGAATTATCCTGAATGTACTTTTCTCTAAGAAATCGTTAAATGATGGTCTGTCCACTCTAAGGAGATGGGGTGGCTAGGACAGTGGTTAGGACACTGAGTCTTAGACTGTTAAAGGTCTACAGCTCAGCAGTTTGAAACCCAAGTGCCACAAGACGGAGTGAGCTCCCCTCACTTGTCCCTGCTGTTGTCATCCTAGTAGTTCAAAAGCTTGCAAATGCAAGCAGATGAATATATACCATATAATCATATGGGAAGTAACAACATTTTGTGTTTTGCTGTATGCTATGTGCATGACAGCCACATGACGGCAGAAATGTCTTTGGACAATGCCAGCAATCTGGTTTAAGAAATGGAGATGAGCACCATTCCTAAAGTTGATCATGACTAGCAGAATAAAATCCATGAGGACACCTTTTACCATTATAAATACAAGCATTGAGGTCCAGTAGTTTCCTTTCATTGTCATTTTAAGTAAAACTTTATAAATATGGCTGAAAAAATATTGATTTTTTAATGAAAATTTAGAAGTAGAGGATAAACTTCATTGTTCAAATATCTCTTTATTAACCCCCTTTTAAATGCCATCCATGTGATATTCTAAAATTAGTAATATACTTTCCTGCACCTCTCTCAAACCAAGAAACTACCATTCACAAGGTAATCCATGACTAAGCAATGATTTTTGTGGATGGGGAGGCATACTTTTTTCAACCACCAGTCACTTTGGACATGACTACTCTGCCAGGAATAAATAAATAAATAAATAAATAAATAAATAAATAAATAAATAAATAAACAAACAAACTTTATTGTCATTGTATGTGTATACACAGTATACACATACAACGAAATTTACTTGACACCCAAAGACCAGGTCCCACGCACATAATCCCCAAACACACTCCCACCCATCACAATTCAGGTTTATTTCAGGTTTATTTATTTTCCTTTTTTTCCTAAAATAAAATAAGTAGGAATTTTATTGGTAGAGATCAACTAATTTTAGAGTCTTGGAAACTCCAGAAGTTATAAGAAAAGATAGATTACCCCATCTCATTTGGTATATATGTGAACTGTTAATTTTTTTAAAAAAAAGTAATACAAAAATTAAAAGCAAAATGAAAACGGATTGATACTGTTGGGAGCAGGAAAGTATATATCTTTTTGTCCCTTCTCATATATATATATGAATTGTAGATTACCTCCATGGCTTCCTCCAATTTTAAAATTATATTGTCAGGGTTCCAAGTAACATCCCCAACGAAAGAAAACTCTGAGGTTTGTATTTCATCAAAGTTACTTTTTATTAGAGATGTCATATTGGCACATCTGGGAAAACCCAAATCTGAAAGTTTCCAGGGTTTCCCCACCCAAGTGAAAGTTCAAACAAGTGGTAGGTTTCTACCAATTCACCCCAGTTCAGGTGAACTGGTAGCAGTGGCAATGGGAGGCTCTGCCCACCCATCCGGACATCATCACGGATGCTCTGCGCATGCACAGAAGGTTCTGTGCATGCACAGAAGCTCTGCGCGTAAGCTCACAGTTCCGAACCGGTAGCAAAGGTAAGTGAAACCCACTACTGGTTCAAACCCTGCCCAGCACCCTCATGTCCATCACATGGTCCAATCATCCACTGTCCAAACTGAAGACACCTCCCAGTCATCCAACTCCAGGTGCCAGGGCAATGCATCCTTGACTCTCTGAGAAAGGAATGTTATTTTGACTACATATCATCTACACTCTATGCAATCCCCCCTCCCATTTTCCCACAGAAGAAGATGTGGCAAGCCTGAAGGCCCAAATGTAAAAGATGGCTTCCAGGTCTGACATATATATTGTAAATGTCACTCAATATCCTTTGTTTGTTTTATCTTTATTATATTTAGATCCTGCTTTTTTATTTATATTACCTTGACTTATATCAATTAAAAACAAGAATGGCAAAATATAGAAATAAATCATGATGATGTTATCCAATTTAGTCAAAGCCATTTCTTGGAGATTCTATGAGTCAGGCCTGTCCACATCTTCCCATCTTGCACTCTTCTTTGAGTTTTTTTATGCTCTGGCAAGTGTCAGCTTTGATGGTGTGCAGCCACCGTATTCTTTGACAGCCCGGTTTCCTTTTCAGAAATAAATCAGGGAAAAAATAAATTAACTGACTTTAAAATATGCTAAATTTCAACCAACAACAGCCTGGTAAAAGAGAGTGAGACCCAATCTGTCTCATTTTGGAATGTATTCAATAGATGGGAGGGCCACACAAGTAAAGATCCTGTCCTGTGTAAAACTGTAACAGGTGAGGTCCTGCCTGTGGAATACGTTTGAAAGAACTTCTCCTGCAGAGCTAAATAACTGAATAGATTTATAACAGGAAAAGCAATCCCTCACATCAGGAGTGAAATGCTCCTGGTTCCGACTGGATTGCCCGATCCGGTAGCGATGGTGGTGGGTGGTTCATAGAACCAGTAGCAAAAATCCCTGCCCCCCTTCCATGCCCAGCTGAGCCGCACAATCATCAGAGGCTTTTTATTATTATTTTTTAAAGCATTTTTTCTACAACCTCTTCAGCTGAAAAAATGCTTTTAAAAGTAAAAAAAAAGCCTCTGATGATTGCGTGGCTCAGCTGGGATCATCAGAGGCTTTTAAAAGTATTTTTTCTACAACCTCTTCGGCTGAAGAGGTTGCAGAAAAAAATGTTTTTAAAAGAAAAAAAGCCTCTGTTCATCAGGTAAGTCAGCTGGGATCATCAGAGGCTTTTAAAAGTAGTTTTTTTACAACCTCTTCAGCCGAAGAGGTTGTAGAAAAAGTGGTTTTAAAAGTTAAAAAAAAAAGTTGGCTACGCCCACTCAGTTATTACCCCCCCAAGCCAAGCCCACAGAACCGGTAGTAACAAATTTTACATTTCACCACTGCCTCACATAATAATAATTTATTAAATTTATATGCTCTCTTACTCCCAGACATAGTTAAACCTAAAGCCATTTAAAGGGAAACACCAACCTCTTTAATCATGCATGGCAGGCCATTGGCAGCAAGTACAGGCCCTTCAGTATAGATATGATTTCTGTATCTTATTAGCTGTCAAGATCCTGCCTTTTGTACTAACTGTGATTTCCAAAGGCAACCCCAAATGAAATGCATTGCACTGCTCAGCGTGTGATAAAATCAGGACATGGATAATCAACTCTAAGTCTACCCGACTCAAGATAAGTCAAAGTTGGTACACTATTCATGATTGTACACATGAACAGTGAACATCACAGTCATTACTATGGGACAGGGATTTGCCATCCCGGGGCTGGCCTTGAGGCAACTCAGGAGTTCATGGCTGCCATGGTGGCCGTAGACCTATCCCAGATCATTCATAATCCAAATCAAAATAGTTGGATTATGGTTTATATCACACATTATATCATACACTAGACATGATTTTCTTGTCAGAGCATTGGCAGTGTGATCTGAGGGAGAAACTATCTTTGTCTTCTTTGTATGGTCAGATTATACCCTGGTGACTTTGAGATTCTCTTATGATATCCCCCTCCACAGGGAGATTCAATTGACCCTTTTTTTTCTCACTCTGGTCAACTGCCATATGGACTATATAATACACTCTACATGGGGCTACCCTTGAAGAGTATATGGAAGCTGAAGCAGGAAGGACCATAATTACTAAAAAAAAAAAAAAAAGTGTCACCAAAATCCAAGTTGACCAGGTGGTTCAGGAAGAAATAATGAATAGTGGTTTCGAAAACTGCCAAGAGATCCAGGAGAAAAACCCAGGTCAGCTCTGCCCATCTAATTTTTGGCATAGTTTACACTTCAAAACAACTGATTGTTTAAAACCTTCCTTTGGTCTTGTGTCTCTCTCTTCTCTTTGGTGAAAAAATATTTGGTCACATTTCAAAATATCTTCCATTTTTTTGTACCCTGCTACTCTTTCCTTATGTCTCCAAACTCTTAATGGAATCTTGATCTATTTTTTTTTCTCCTTCTTGAGGGACAAATTATTAACACAAATCCTTCACTTTGAACAAAGCCATCTTTTGATTGGTGTGAGCTCCATTAACTTTCTACATTCTGCTTTCCCACCTTCTCCTGCAGCATCTTCCAGCAGTGTTAACACATCTCAATTTATGAGCCTCATGTAGCAAGGGTCAACGTATTAATATGTTAATAATGCAATGCTTTGCCAATTATGCTGGGAGGGGGGTTATGTAGAGCCTCAATTAATTATGTTATAATATTTTGATGGCAGACTGATTGCTAGCTTTGCATAGCTGTAATGCTAAATGTTTAGAAGATGATAGACTGGGACGCCTTAATGGCCTCATGATTAGATTTGAGGAAAAGGCTGATATGAACAGAGATACTAATTTATGGACTTTGCTGCAATACATTATCTTTGGGATCAGCAGATAGCAGGTTTTAAGACTGTCCCTATTTTAAGAAATGCCTGTTTTCAGAAAGGGCTAGTTATGATTAAAAAAAAAAACCCTGTCTTTTATATCAGCAGCAGATGTGATGAGGTAGGCCTCTGGATTGGGAATTGAATCTGATTCTGGATCAGACCAGTTAACCTTGTGACTTTAGTAGACAAATAACGAGGCAGTTTATCTATACATTCTAATGAGACTATTTCAGAGTTCAAGATTTGTCACTATTAGCACTATTATTGTATTTGTAATTATGGAGGTTATTAATACACTTCTGGTAGTCCAGAGAATGAAGCTCTATGCTCAGTGTGGAGGACAGCATCTCTCGCAATCATATCTGAGGCCTAGGTTCTAGAACAGTAGCATTTCAGTTGGGCTTTTATGAATGTGTGATACAAACTATATAAATATTTATAAGCTACTCAAACTAAAGATTTTCTTGCTCCCATTTTAGAAGAACACCCTCAAATGTAAGATCAGACATTCATTCCTTAGGGAATATCATTTAAAAAAACACCCTAATAAAAGGGAAACAGAACTGTTGAGTTCAAATAAGACATTTGATTTATAAGGTTTATAATTTGATTTACAACATTTATAATTCAGCAAATGAAGATAAGTAAGTGATGGAAGCCATGCTGTGTATATTGTTTTAAAAGCTGCAGAAATAATATATTTTTAAATTTTCATTGTGCTTACTTCTACTTGCAGGGAGAAATTAGTCAATTGTCACCAGCAAACCTGGCTAAAAATGTGGGGGGGGAGGGGAGGGAGAAATATTTCAGATAGATGTCATTATTCTAAGATATTGACATGACTGGATGTTTCAAAAACTGAGATATCTCTTGCTTGAAGCTAACCATATTATTTTAATTTCAGTGGAATTTTATGGATTGATTATGTCTCATCAAATTGGTATTAACTTTTCTATTGCAGTTTTTTTTTTCTCACCTGTACAGGAAACCCCATTGGGTTGCAATCATTGTCTGAAACAGGACAATACCTACATTCATTCCTAATTATTTCAGTTTTGATTGATTGATTATATGACATCAAGTCAGTATTGACTCTTAACAACAAACCGATTGATCTTCCTTATGATGATCTGTCCCCTATCTCGTCCTTCAAGTCTTTCATTGATGCATCCATAGCCACTATAATTAAATCCATTAATTTAGCTGCTGTCCATCTTCTTCTCTTTTCTTCCACTTTTTTCAGAAGTTTATACCTCAAGAGAACTGAGTCTTCATGTAATATTTTTGACAGAAGGGATATTCCAGAATCTATATTTCGGTGAGTTTATTAAACAATGTGCTATATCCTTAGTATTTTTTAAATTAATTACTGTGTTCTTAAACTGCTACTGATTATAATTGGTATTTGAATATACACAACACTGTGTATATGTTAAAATGCCCTACCTTTGTTTTCATTAAGATAGTAATACACCTAGTAAAGACCTTACTTGGAGAGTGCTGTATAATTTCTAAGATGTTTTTACATGTCAGTTTTAGGAATATCTCTTGCGGAACAAATTAAAATAATATAAACAAGTAGAAAAAACACTTTCATCTTTTTCCAATTGTATCTGTAGAATAATCAAATTATACTTCAGACAAATAACACTCTCTGGAGAAGACTCTAATACTGGAAAAGGTGGAAGGAAACAACCACAAGCAAGATAGATGGACTCAGTTACAGTAGTGAGATCCATTGGAAAAATCTGAAGGACCAAATTAGGAAGAGACTGTCACAGGGATACTCTATCTATGTGGTTGCTATAATTAGTCCTGACTTGATGGCATATAATCAATCAATAAAACAGAAATAATTAGGAATGAATATAGGTGATATTCTATTCCAGATAGTGACTGTAACCCAGTGGGAGTTTCTTTTCAAATTGTGGAGGAAAGTTCTAGCAGAAGTTTAAATCCAGGATTGGATTCTAAATGAAATTACACTAACATGCACTCATGTCTGACATTTGCTATTCTTGCATTTATTCCATAAAATACAGAACAGGCCAAAAACCATATAAGAGTATCTCATCTTTCATTATAGCATGATTTTTGCAATGATCATCACGCTGTTTGGCTTTTCCTACTTCAGTTAAACCCAAGCAGAAAGACACCGTGATAAAACTTTTGTTTGAGAGTTTTTTCATTTAGTATCCTACTACCACAATAGGGAAAGAATCCAACTTTTGGCAAAATCTTAGGCCATGTCAGGTGCATTCATTTCATCTTGAAGCTGGTTGTTGCAGCTGTGGGAACAAGAAAACAAATGAAAAAAGAAACATAGTGGCTTCTAAAAAGATAACTCTTTTTGGCTCCTTCTCTCTCACACTCTCTTCTCCTAAGGGCATGTATTAGTATTTAAAAACCAGACAACCTGGGAAATGTACAAATATATTCCCAAGTTTCCCAAACACAGGTGGTTCTATTATTAGCAGCACTCAAAACAGGAGTAAGGTGGAGGAAGAGAGTCCCTCCCTTTCCCTCTGCTGCTGTCAACCTTTGTAATTAGGAAAATGATGAGTAGCAAAGAGAAGGAGAAGGGGTTTCTTTTTAATTCAAATTACAACTTAAACCAGAGACAATTTATTGATGAAGTAGAAGCTGGTCAATGTCATATTAAATTAATATTATGATCTATATAATTCCAGGATCTATGAGACCAGAGTTTATTTTATTTATTTATTTTTATTTATGAATCAAATGTATATAGCTGCTCATGCCCTCCAAAGGGGACTTTGTTAAGCTATCAGTTGCAATAGTTGTGGAAAATATTTTTGCAGAAAACATCTTTAAAAGCCTCATTTATGTCAATCTGGATTTCTGGAAAACAGCCTAGTATTACAAGATTCCATCTAGTTTACAATAGATAGGAACAATACATTAAGTTATAAATTAAGAACAGATTCTGTGCAAATCTGTGGGTCTGGTTAAGAAAAGGATCTGTGGAATTTTACACTTGAAGTTGGATTTTTTTGTTGATTAATTGAAAGCAGAACAGGAAGGCTCTCTAATGCCTTCTGGTCTTCCATTACAATAATACTAATTTTCTTCCCCCTGCAACACAAGGAGATAGAGGTCAGGTTTAGATGTAAGTTTATACAGAACTTTTTTATCCTTCCATTGCAGAAATTGGCTGTGAAATACCACAGATACTTGGCGGATTCCTGTCATTTTTGCCATTTGTTGGGCCAAGACATAAAAACACCACTGTGCCTTCATTCATGATCCCAGAATGCATTTGAACTGAAGTAAGAGAGGTGAAAGACTTGGTAACATGGGCAGCTTCTGTTCCCCCAAACAGCTGGAATTGCATCCAAATCTTTTGTTCAAAATGCAGTTCATCCACACTCTATTCTGTAAGCAAGAGAAATAGGATTGCAGGCAGGGCTTTTCTTCTTCTTTTCAGATAATGGCAAAGTATCCCTAATTCAAAACAACTCAACTAATTGGTCCAAAAAGGATGTTAACAGCTCCGTCTAGCAGACTGTATTTAAAACAATTGTTAGCAATCAATAAATCCTGCCTGATTGTTTTATTTCATTAAAGATGTATTTGTTAACTAAGCAGCTGGCACCCAAACAGCTGCTTTAAATAGAGAGGCATTTCCATTTTCTATTTTATCATTTCCTTTGTTAGTTTCTTTGCAAATTTCCCAAGACAATGACTATCAAAATAACAGAGAAATCCAGACTGGTTCAATAGTACAATTAGAGACACGACAAATAAATGAGAATATCAACATTGTACTGGACATTGGATAATAATAGAATAGGGAGCAAACTATACATTTACTTGCACTGACAATTTTGGGTGATGAAACTAGTTGGGTGATGAAACTACCAAACTCAGGGAGCACCAAGGACTCCTAAGTCCAACCTAAAGCAATGTATATTCTCTTCTATTGAAATTAATAGAATACTACTATGAATAAAAATATGGGAGGAATGATGGTTCATTCTTCTTAATTGATTTTGAGCAACCACATGCCCTATGGTGGGTGTTTCTAAAGTCACTAATATGCAACCATGTGCAGGTGGCAGCAAGATAATCTTTGATTGAGATTAGATAGATAGATAGATAGATAGATAGATAGATAGATAGATAGATAGACAGATAATAGACAGACAGACAGACAGACAGACAGACAGATAGATAGATAGAGATAATATAGAGATGATATATTATCATTATAATAATATATATAATAGATATAAAAATGTATATGCATTCTCTACCAATCTCCTGGATACACGAGATCCTTGTTATTCTAAGCCCAGAATGTGGCTCTTCTTTTTTTTTTTTTTTTAATTGCCTTCAAAAAAGTTGCCTTCAAAAATGTGGCAAAATTTTCCTTCTCGGTTAGCACAATATTATCCGCACAATTGAATGTTACAGTGATTTTACTCTCCACCATGCTTCCCTGCAGCAAGTCAATCCTGTGGGACAAATTATCACATCATACTATGATGTCATGAAATAAAATTGTGGTAAACATTCCAAAGAAAAATAGAAAATGAGACATTTAGATTTTAAAAACTATTTTAATAACAACCATCTGTTTCAAATAATGTGCACGTCTGGCTTCTGATGTATGTGTAACCAGGAGTATATTTGTAACTAGATTTGGATCAAAATCAAAAGCCCTGATGTAAGCCTTTATGGATTACATCTCCATTGTGATGCTAATGACCACAGTATTTGGTGGGGCCCTAGTTGGCTTAGTTGTAAATTATAAATTCTCTCTCATTAGAAATTTTCAAACAGAGATTGGATGGTTATCTGTTAGAGATATTATAGGGCAGTGATGGCTAACCTTTTTGCCATCACGTGCCAAAAGTGGGGGGGGAGTGTGAGGGGGTTGTGTGTGCACGACCCCCTCACACCCATAATTCAATGCGCCCTGCCTCCCATGCATGCACGTGCGACACACACACACTTGCACTCCCCCCACTTTTAGCACACAATGGCATGGTGGGCCCAGAAGGCTCGTTTTTTTTACTCTCCCTGGGCTCCAGAGCCTTTCTAGGAGCCTGGCGAGGGCGAAAATGGCCTTCCCCACCCCCCTGGAGGCCCTCCATTTCCCAACTTCCAGTCCCACTGGAGCTGAGCTAGGGCAACGCTCACATGCCCACCAATATGACTCCACGTGCCACCTGTGGCATGCGTGCCATAGGTTCGCCATTAGGGTTATAGGGGATAATGCACCCAGGAGGTGATTAGTCTAGATGACTTATTAAGTAACCTTCAATTCTATAATTCAATTATTAGTACCAGAATTATGTGAACAGTGCATATGCAACTGTACAGTAAAATACTAGGTTGATCAAAGACATAAGATGTTAATTCTGTATATTATTCAAATATTTGCTGTTAGAATCTAAGGATCATAAACAAAACAAACCTATCAAAATCCATGCTAATATCATGATTCATCTATTTTATTGCAGGAATTGCTTTCTAGAACTGTATATTAAACATGTATATATGGAACCTAAACAATACAGATATCCTTTCAGATTTTGGCTATCTGCCAAGTAGTCAATCATCATCCAGAAAGACATCCTCCCATGCTTCTTGTCTGTGGAAATTCTCAATCATGGTTGTCCCAAAGGTGTTTTTTCAAAAGACAACTGGACTCCAGAAAGTCCAGAAAGTCCAGTTGCCTCTTGAAAAAGCACCTTTGGGACTTCCCTGCTTCTTTCTTAGTCAGTTTCTCTCTCACTCTTTCTCTCTTCTCCCCCTCTTTATCTTTTGTTCTCTCACACATCATACCAGAGTGGGGGCTGTCAGCAAGTGCCCTTCATAGTTATGTCTTGGGCAGGTAAATACTACTTGGAGCAGAAGGTGTCAAAGATAGACAAATTCCAAGCCATGCATGATTTGAAAGGTGATCTCCAGCACCTTGAATTATACTCATAAACAAACCATAAACAAACCATCAAACAATGGAGCTCTGCAGTATTGGTGTTTTATGACAATATTGGCTTGTCCAAATTAATTTGTGGGTACATTTTATACTAGTTGCAGTTTCTGGGTGATCTTCAAAGGTATCTAAATGTACAGTTTATTCCAGTAGTCCACTCATGTGATGACAAAGACATGAGTGATTGTAGCCTGTACCTTTAGTTTCAAGAAGACTTACAACCAGTACACCAGTCAAAGCTGGACAGAAGTCTTCTTGGCCACAGCTTCCACCTGCAGTTTTGACAAGAACTGGGAATCCAGAAGCACCCCCCGGCCTGCACATCAGGCCTTTCTGATGAAGCACAATTCCATCTAAAGTTAAAGATGTTATTGTCCACTTCAGTTAGCTTCTGAATCTTCAGCCACTCTGTCTAGCTTTGGTTGAGTTAGAATCTATTTCTCCCCTTCTAGACTCCAGAGATTAGGGACAAGAGTTTTCATCCTCCAATCATCTGAGCTAGAGATATATTGGGTATCATCAGAATATTAATTATGCCAAACCCCAAACTGTCAAATGACCTTCACAAAAGCTTTATGTAGATATTAAGAAGTGTACAGTTTGCTTAGAAGAATGATGCTCACTTCATCAAACAGGTGTTGGATACCCTAACCCTAACCCTAACCCTAACCCTAACCCTAACCCTAACCCTAACCCTAACCTCTCCGACATTTGCAGTTTGTGTTGGCAGGGGGGCAGAGGTCGACCTCGAGGTGCCTTGCATGGGGGTGCCGCAAGGGTCGGTCCTCTTGCCCCTTCTGTTCAACATTTATGTGAAGCCACTGGGTGAGATCATCCATGGTTTTGGGGTGAGAGTCCATCAGTACGCTGATGACACTCAGTTGTACATCTCTACCCCAGACCACCCCAATGATGCCCTTGATGTGATGTCCCGCTGCCTGGAGGCCGTGCGGGTCTGGATGGGGAGAAATAGGCTCAGACTCAACCCTTCCAAGACCGAGTGGCTATGGCTTCCGGCGTCCCGATATAGTCAGCTGGTGCCATCGCTGACTATTGGGGATGAAACTTTACCCCCCACAGAGAGGGCTCGCAATCTAGGTGTCCTCCTGGATGCACGGCTGTCTTCAGAAGAACATATGATGGCCGTGGCCAGGGGGGCTTTTTATCAGATTCGCCTGATCCACCAGTTGCGGCCCTTTTTGGACCGGGATGTCTTACGGACAGTCACTCACGCCATTGTCACCTCCCGGCTGGACTACTGTAATGCTCTCTACATGGGGCTCCCCTTGAAGAGCAGTCGGAAGCTCCAACTGGTCCAGTATGCGGCCGCGTGGGTGGTTATGGGCATGGCTCATTGCGCCCACGAGACACCTCTCCTGCACGAGCTGCACTGGCTCCCAGTGGTCTTCTGGGTGTGATTCAAGATGTTGGTTACCACCTTTAAAGCGCTCCATGACTTAGGACCTGGATACCTTCGAGACTGACTTCTGCCACCAGTAGCCTCCCACCGGCCAATTCGCTCCCACAGAGAGGGACTCCTCAGGTTATAACTCCTCAAGTTATGTCAGCTGGCGGCACCCAGGGGAAGGGCCTTCTCTGTGGGAGCTCCTGCCCCCGGAAATATGCAAGATCTCCGATCTCTGTGTGTTTCACTGTGCCCTTAAGACTCTGCTGTTCCGCCAGGCAGGGCTATCTATGTAAATGATTTTAAATTGGGTGTTTTAAATTTTGGGTTTTAAATTCGGGCTGAAATTGTTTAACACTTTTAACTATTTTAAAACTGTTGTTTGCATCTTGTGTTTTTAATTGGCTGTACACCATCCTGAGTCTTTCGGGAGAAGGGCGGTATATAAATTAAATAATAAATAAATAAATAAATAAATAAATAAATAAATAAATAACCCTAACCCTAACCCTTATGTGTATTCCCAAACCGATCAAAGGATTGGATTAGATGAGTTATAGGTTCTTTACAATTTTTTAACATAACCATTGCTTTAAAGAAAAGATACAATACATATTTCTAAAGCACTCTTTCCCCCTTTCTTCTGCTGATAAATTGTTGCATGTTTCAATCAACATTTAGTAGTATTGACACTCATGTCAGATTTCAGCTTTCATGATACAAGAGTTCATGAAGTCTGCTTGTTTTATATAGCTTAGCACTATCAGGTCTGATTAGTACTTAGACGAATGGTCCTCAGGAAATTTCTGGGCAGCAGACTAGATTACAGTTTTTCTTTTTAAAACTTTTACTGGTAGAAGGTAATAAGAAACTACTTCTGTACTGATGCCAGAGTAAACTATAAAGACATGAAGAGTCAAGCTTGACTTGAGGAAAACTTTACCTTTATAATTTGCAATCATGGGTTCATGTACCCGCTAGATCAACAGAAAACAAATTTGTTCCAGTCCTTCATTTTGTTGAGGGAGAGTATCCACACATTCCTAATATGGCAATTTGCTGCTGAGTCTCAACAACATATTTGAACTCAATTAAGAGGTTTGTGCTTGCATGAGTTGGCTGAGGAATATCAAGGCAGAGAAAGGAGTTTAGACAAAATTAGATACATTTCCTAAGGGTTGTTAAGAAATATTCTATACTGAAATGAGCATGTT